AGAGCCTGGAGCCTGCCTAGGATTCTGTGTCTCCCTCTCTCTCTGCCCCTCCCTGGCTCGCGCTCTGTGTCTCTCTCTCAAAAATAAACAAACACTAAAAAAACTAAAAATCATTTACCACCTCCTCATCTGGAGCAAGAAGTGACATTACATTGTGTTTTCTCAAGCATATTCTGCAGAATACTGAGTGTTCTTTGGGGAAGAAAAGGCACTGGCTAAGTTTGGGAAACACTGGATAAACAATTGTTAGCAAATTCTGTAGTGGCAGAGACCACCCAGATCCTCAGTATACCACGAATAGCCATGGTGAATCTCCTGGGGATCTAGTATATGCAAAATTTCTTACATCAACTGGCTGCTTTCTTTTAGTGAAATGTTTTTTCAAGTACCATCGCTGCCAAACGTGCTTTGGAAGATGCCGGGCCGAGGTCATAAGTGTACATTCATTTTATTCTTTTTTTTCACTGTGATTGTGAAGGGACATGAGCACTTGCAATGCATGGCTTGGCTAAGATGTAGGTCCTAAAGAGCAAGGGCCGTCCACTTCAGAAGCTGTTGACATAAGTGCTTCCTGCTCTGTGACACCTTTCTCCCTCCTGTCCTTACAGCTCCCCTTTGAATTGGAGATTTACTACATTCAGCATGTTATGCTCTACGTGGTGCCCATCTACCTGCTTTGGAAAGGAGGTAAGCCCCGCCCACCCCAGCACACCGCCAGTGCCACTCCCACGCCTATCCACCCCACGCCTAGCCACTCCCACGCCTAGCCACTCCCACGCCTAGCCACTCCCACGCCTAGCCACTCCCACACCTAGCCACTCCCACACCTAGCCACTCTCACGCCTAGCCGCCCCCACACCAAGCCGCTCCCACACTTAGCCACTCCCCCACCTAGCTGCTCCCTTCTGTTCTGGGGAATCCTCATGTATTGGATGCCCACCAGGATCTTGAGCTACTGCCAGCCTGGGTTTCTGCAGTATCCTTTATGCCACACACCAGGGGGTGAGCAGATGGGCGTGGATAAGGCCTGCAAAGAATCTGGGGGCTTTTCAGAACCCTCGTTTGTGCCTTGTGGGTAAGCACGCTGCTGCTGTGTGTCCTGGGGCCTAGGCCTGGGGCTCGTTGTCTGTGGTGACATTGGGTTTGCATGGAAACCCCCGCAGCCCCGATTCTGTCACTCACATGTGCTGTGCCTCCCCCGTTGCGTCAGTGTGCAGTATAGGGTAGGAGGAGAGAAGGAAGCACTCAGCCCTGTCGAGAGCAGGACCTTGTGCTCTTGCTTATTGTATCCATCCTCTCAGAACCAAAGAAGATATTGAGAGGGGCAAGAAGTTCAGGGACTGTGAGGTTCTAGGGCTGAGGGAAGAAGCAGGTAAAAGAATAGTGACTACCGTGTAAAACAAACCATTGACAACCTTGATCTTGTCATGAGGGAGAGACCTCCAACTTGGTAGAGATGGCCTTGAAAGGAAAGCTGATCTCTTTGTGACCTCACAGTGACCCTTAAGTTATCCCTCCCCCCTTCTATTATGTGGTAGATGAGAGGGGACTAGCCTCTCTGTCTTGGTTGCTGGGACTTCTCTGGGGGACCAACGCCACTATCGCACCTCGGGCCACCAAGGCTTTCATTTCTATCACGTTGAAAATGACACGAGGCCATGTGGGCCCTTAAAGCCACTGGAAGATGGTTTGGAAGTTGTGCTTCCTCTAACTCAGGAATCCTGGCAAATCTGAAGAACTTTTGGCAACCTGGGGACACATTGGAGGACGGGTACCGTTGCTCTCGGTGGAGTCTCCTGTCAGTCAAGAGATCTGCCCCCCTGTGCCCTGGTTTCTGTCAGATAGCATTTTTTCTTAGGACTGGTCTCAATGTTCTTTGAGGGTGTTTTTACCCTGTGCAGCCCCTTGGGGGGTCTCACAGACTCAGAGAGCACCATCTTTGAATCTGCTCTAAATGTACTGTTTCCCCCTCTAAGCTGTAGGGCAAGTCTCCATATCCAGGAGACGTGTGCCATTTTTCAGGTATGTCTCCTGTGGCACAGGAAGCAGCTTGCTAATAATATTCAAGTCTGGGGGATACACTCATTCTGAATAGAACCAGGCAGGCAGCTATCTCTGCATTCCAGAAGCAACCCCCCTCTCCTTTCTGAGGGATGAGATGCAGGTTTTGGCCCAATGTGCATGGCCATTAGTTAAACCTACTTGGCTCCGAGGTGCCCGTAAAAATCTGTTAGGTAGCTGAGCCAGACTATTCTGAGATGGAAAATACCAAGTAGCCATCCCCAGTACCCCCTCCCCACAAAAAACCCCTCACAGTCTGGGAAGCTGCAGCTTCTAGAAGTGCTAGGTTCCACTGCAGCCTTCTGTTGAATCTGTCGCCACACTGTTTGGGGTAACTGAGCCGAGGAAGCAGGGATGCCAAGGCTTAATTCCAATTTATTTCTCACTGTTAGTGATTCTTTCCTCTTTCCTCTGGTGCCTGGCCCAGAGTAGAGGCTGTAAAAACAGTAACGGTAATAATAGCCACAGTAAATATCAGCTTTTTATTGAGTGTTTCCTGTGTGTGAGATACTTTGCTAGGCACGCTTTGTGTGTTTTCTCATCCAACTAACCCTGGTGAAAATGCCCCTTCTACAAAGGAGAAAGCCAAGGCTCAGAAATGTTAGGTACCTTGCTCACAGCCATCAGTAGCAGAGCCAGGATTCAAAGCCTGGCCTCGATTCCCTCTCAAACCAGTCCTTTTCTCCGCGTACCTCATTGTCCTAAAAGGCAGGCACCTGTCCCCTAACCACACAGCAGGTTGGGAGTCTCCCCTCCAGCCACCCCCAACATGTATTTGTTGAACACTTACTACGAACCCAGCATTTGTACTAGGGAATCAGAGATTCCCTGCTATAGGGAGTCTGTGCGGGAAGAGAGCCTTGGGAGTGTAAACCAGCAGGGTAAGTGCGACAGAGGGCGCCATAGGAACAGAACAGGATTTATTTGTCACCACTTCTGGGCTCTTCAGAAGCCTTGGCTTCCTTTCTGGCTCTTTGCTGTCATCTGCTGTTCATTTGGGGGAAATTATATGCACTTAGAGAAAAGTCTGGTTTTCCTAAGGCTGGTTTCAGTCTTTGGTCCCGAGTCTCAGACCTGGGCCTTGCGGAGGACAAATTGATCTGGAGTGAGCAGTGGGAAGATGATTCTCTGTAAATCAAAAAAGCTGAGGGTTTAGGGGTTCTCTTTCCTAGAAGTCTTGTAATTTTCCAAAAGTAACTGACTTTGGAGTTTATACCCAAGGCAAGACAGCTCTCCTGTAGATACCTCCCATGGCCAGGAGCCCTGTTTTCCTGAAAGGCAAAATTGTGCTGCTTTCTGTGGCCTGGGTGGGGGCGGAGTTCAGTACTACCTAGTGGGATCCCCTCCCTCCTTCATTACTATAGTCCTTCAGCATGGCCGTAGTGACTGTGACATCCTGTGTCCACACTGTTCTTTTTTTTATTAAAAATGTTTTTAATGTTTATTTTTGAGAGAGAGAGAGAGAGAGAGAGAGAGAGAGACAGACAGACAGACAGGGTGCCAGTGGGGGAAGGGCAGAGAGAGAGGGAGATGCAGAATCTGAAGCAGGCACCAGGCCCCGAGCTGTCAGCACAGGGCCTGACGTGGGGCTCAAACCCATGAACAACTTGAGTCGAAGTCAGACACTTAACCAACTGAGCTACCCAGGCACCCTTGTCCACACTGTTCTTTTCTTCCTCCAGCCTTCCTTTTTATTTGTTTCCTTTCCTCCCAGCTCTTGGCCTTTGGCGCTCTGGAACTACACTTGACTCTTGAACAGTGCGCAGGTTAGGGATGCGACCCCCCCCCCCCCCACAGTCTAATAGCCGTGTATAACTTTACTCCCTCAAAACATAACTACTAATAACCTTTCGTTGACTAGAAGCCTTATTGATAATGTAAACAGTGGAAGAACACAGATTTTGCATGTTATATGTATTATGTACTGTATTCCTGCAATAAAATCACCTGGAGAAAAGAAAATGTTATTAAGAAAATCCTAAGGGAGACAAAATACATTTACTGTACTGCTCTGTATTTATCAGAAAAAATCTGCACGGGAGTGAACTTGTAAAAGTTCAAACCTGTGCTGGTCAAGGGTCAGCTGTATATTTTTTATAACCCCCAGCCCAACCAGCTCTTCACAGAACACCAAGTCCTCCCGTGTGTGTCTTGCCTGGAGCTCCCCCCAATGGAGGCTGCTCTTCCTTTTCTGCCCCCTGGGCTGTCGAGTTCCCCACTGTCTCTCCCCAGACTAATATTTCATCTCTCAGGTGGAAGTGCTTTCTCCTTTACCATTCTCTCCACCTTTTCTTTTCACCACTACCACCACCTAACCCCTCATCCGCTTCCCCCTTCCTAGATGCCTTTGGCCCCTGGTGCTCAGTATTTCCATTACAACTCTGGCCAGCATTGGGAGAGGCTTCCAAGGAAGACCACTCGCCCCACCCAGCTTCTCAAAGTTTGGGTGTCTCCACCTCAGTGACTTCTGTGTCTTCTTCTCTTCAGCTGACTGACTTTGCCCCCCCTGCCCCCGAAACTCCTCTGAGATCATTAGCCCCTGCATCCCTTTCTGTGACCCAAATCTCTACTCTTTTCAGCCTCCTCCCCTCAAGCTTCCTGTCCTTCCCACTGTTGATAGATGTAGCCCCAACAAATGACTGGGAAAACAGAGATTTCCAGGTGCAAATTCCCTCGGTTATTTCCCTCTGCTCTAAAAGCTACTTCACCCACCCCTGTCCTGACATCATTCCCTGTCATCTTGGAGGAAGTGGTTTTGTGGTAATCTCGCATCCCTTCCCCTCGTCCGGAACTTCATTCCATCAAGTAGTCAGTCACTTGTCTCCTGGATTTCAACCCTTTCTTCACTACTGGCTTTTTGGCCAAGAAGGATGCCGAAGTCTTCCCCTTATAATTTTTTTTTTTAATGTTTGTTTATTTTTGAGAGAGGCTGGGGGAGGGGCAGAGAGAGAGGGAGAGAGAATCAGCAGCGAGCCGGATGCGGGACTCGATCTCACAAACCATGAGATCATGACCTGAGCTGAAATCGAGTCGGACATTTAAACGACTGAGCCACCCCGGCGTCCCAGCATCTTCAAAGATTAGTCCAACAAGATTTCCTAAACCTCAGTTCTTTGGGTGTGACAATTCTTGCCTAATCCACAGTGTCATCTGTATTATTATGTCAATGATATATGTCCTTAAATCTACTAATTTTTCTTTTTCCTAAAATATCTTTCTGCTCCATGAAATCCTGGATTCAGTGTGCTGGTTACTTATTTTAATACACTTAAATTTTTTTTTAACGTTTATTATTTATTTTTTGAGAGAGACACAGAGCATGGGCAGGGGAGGGGCAGAGAGAGAGGGAGACACAGAATCCGAAGCAGGCTTCAGGCTCTGAGCCACCAGCACAGAGCCCGACATGGGCTCGAACCCATAAGCTGTGAGAACATGACCTGAGCCAAAGTCAGATGCTTAACTGACCCAGGCACCCCTTACATGTTTATTTTTTTATTTATTTTTTTTT